AAAAAAAAAAAAAGTTAAGCCAAATGAACAGGGGTCCACAGCCTCTCATGGATCCCTCAATAAAAATGTTACCCACCCCTATATGTGAGTTATCTGTGAGGGTTCCACCTATACATGAAGCATGATTCTAAAAAAAAAAAAAACCTAGGTGAAAATAAGGGGATAGAAGGGTGGGTTTCCAAGATAAGAGTAATTGAGAAAAGACAAGGAGTGCAAATCAAGAAACTAGGATTTTCAAGTTTAGCATGGAAGAAAGCGATTCTTGGTGCAATATTTTCATCTTTTTCTTGTTTTTTTGTTCAAACTTGGTGATGTACTCCAAATCTTGTATTTTTCTTCACGCATGATGTTTAGCTAAACAAGAATTTGGGGTAAACGATGTAAACTAGTTTTGAATCTTAAATTTGATTATGAAGTTATGATCTTCAATTAATGGTTGCGCACTGTGTTTACTTCTATTATTCATGACATTGAATTACTTGATCATTAATTCATCGATTTGAAAATGGTAATAAGTCGAGATATCAGTTATTTGTTTAGAGAATGTAATAAAAATTGCAATTTGGGTGGAAGATAGAAATACACTTGTACTAATTTTACGGTCGTTAACTGAGTTCTTTGGTAATTGAGTGCTTTTAATTAAGCTTCTCCCGCTTTACAATATAATTATTTGAATTAATTGAATATGATTCGTTTGAACTTGAAAGAGGTAAATTGATTAATTTAGAAGAAATCGACCATGTACACATAATTGATTGTTATCGAAACCTAGTGATTGAGATGAAGGGGATGGTTACGTAACTTACATTCAATTTGTGGATCCATAACAATTTTTATACATTAATTAAAACCCTAAATTGCGGAATTTTTATTTTTTTAAATTATTTTCATATATTTATAATATTTAGGATTGTAATTGAAATCAATTTTATTTGTTTTTATTTGAATAGAAGTTATGCATAGTAATTTTGCGGGGACGATAATTTGAAATTTTAGGTTGACTTTACTACTTTTTAATTAACATCGAGCACTAGCGATTCCAAATACAACAACTACCCTAAACAGAACCTTCAAGAACTTACTAAGAGCTTGTTTGTCTTCCATTATTGGGAGAAAATTAGTGTAATGAATAGTATTTTTTTGAGAATGTGTGGTTGAAAATTAAAGTAACTTTATTGGTTTATGTGTAGAATATTTTATTGAATGAACGTGTGATGGAGAATCTTATTGTAGCAAATAATTTTTTGAATTAATGGTAGACAAACAGGGGCTAACAGTCTAACATTGTTGATATCTAGATCTCTCTCTACTTCTAATTTAAACAGTGTGGGGAGAGGGATCAATTATAGCTTTAAGGATAAGTAGATCCTGACAAAATTGCAAGGATAAATTAGGATTTAGCATGATCACGTCATTGTTAGAGATGGTGGGCGGCATACATGGTTTGGCTCCGTAATTTTATTGGTGATATTTTGATATAAAATAATAGTTTTTTTAATGCATTATTTGTGTCAGGGATGGTGGGCGAGCCCGAGCTTTTTTCGAGCCGAGCACGGGCCGAGCCGGCTAGGGTTTTTTTTTTCTTCTTTTTTTTTTTTTTTTTTATAATTTTTTTTTTTGTTTTTTTTTCCGAGCCGGCTCGGGTTTTTTTTTCTTTCTTTTTTTTTTTTGTAAAAATTCATTACATGGATATTTGCTTATTCAAATGGACAGTGAACGTTGCAATTTGCATTCTTTCCACCTTTAGACAATGACCTTTACATAAGAAAGTTATAAACAAAAATCTAATTGGAACGATTCTTTGAAGTTTGAACATAATATATAATGAAGTTTTAAAAATCTACATTTTAAAAAAATCTACTTTTTTGGTGGCACCTTATAGCCTAATATCGGAAAACATGTTAGATTTATAAATGACTAAATGAGTGACTATCCATTATAACAAAGTGATAAATCTTTTTTAATAACCGATTTGAAATTTCTTACAAATTTTAGTGGCCATTGCGGCATTGCCCATTGGTGAAATTAGCTCAATTTTTAAATGTAATCAAGTAATATAGATCACTAATAATTTCACTTAATAATTAATATAGAAGAATAAACGTGTGTAAATGAAAAAAAATTCTTACTTTAAATATTTAGGCACTTAGATTAATGAAATAGTAATAATGCAATAAATATTAAACAAACAAATATCACACATTTTCCAAAATAATCTAGTTGATAAATTATGAGATAAAATTGTAGCTTATAATTAGTTTATTAGTTTCATGATGAGAAGAATAAGTTGATTAAGTAAATTGTGATCATTTGTCTTAATTTAAACCATTCATCCCCAATAATTTATGGTGTAAAATAAAAAGTGTTGGGCAAGTTTTTTTTTTTTTTCCGGCCAGGCTCGCGAGCCACACGGGCCAGCCCG